AGCAAACGCACAGAGGAGCTTGGGTCTCTGACAAACCTGCACAACCACCTCCGGGCTTTTAGTTTTTTAAATTTATTTTTTTTAATTAAAAAACTTTTAATAACATTTACATTCAATATTATTTTGTGTTAGCTTCAGGTCTACGACATACAATATCCCCCTGATATTTCCAGTACCCAATGGGCACTATACATAGTTATTACAGTATTACTGACTGCATTTCCTATGCTGTATTTCACATCTCCATGACTATTTGTAATTACCAATCTGTACTTCTCAATCCCTTCATCTTTTTCACCCAGTCTTCCAAGCCCCCTCCCCTCTGGCAACCATCAGTCTATTCTCTGCATCTATGAGTCTGTTTCTGTTTTGTTGTTTTGTTTGTTCATTTATATTGTTCTTTAGATTCCACATATAAGTGAGTCATATAGTATTTGTTTTCCTCTGACTGGATTAGCATATGACCCTCTTCGTTCATCCATGCTCTTGCAAATGACAAAACTTCATTCTCATTTATGGCTGAGTAATATTCCATTGTATATACGGGGGGGGGGAGGGGCAAAAGTAGGTTTACAGTTGTTTGTCTGGAAAAGAATAATTAATAAATAATAATGCAAGAATGAACTCTGTGTTCTGTGTACTCATAACTGTAAACCTACTTTGCCCACACCTGTATGTACCACAGCTTTTCAAAAACCTCAGAGAGAAATACACTTCCACTTTCTTGAAGCCCTTGTTACCTTGGCGTTTCCGGGTATCCCAGCTGGATGTAATGCTCACTAGCAGAGTGAGCAAGACTTGATGCAGAAAGATGAGCTGGGCAACTATTGCAGTGGCAGGGGACAGGTGACAGGAGCCTGAACTAAGGCAGTAGCAGTGGGGAAGGTGAGGAAAACCTGCTAGTGATGGTTGAGAGGCTGAGTGGACTGGATTTGATTACTAATGGGTAGGCAGGTGAGAGATGAAGTGACAGCAGAGTAGAGCTTTATACCTGGGTTTCTGGCTTGGACGCCTTGGGGGAAGCATGGAGGAGGAGCTGTGGGCATGGTGAGGAGTCCCTGAGGGAATCTAAAAAGTGAGAATTCCAAGGAGAGAACCTTTGAGAACATTAATAATTTGAGGAGGGAGCAGGGGAAGAGGCGGGTAGGCAGATGACACCAGGACCAAGAGCAGCGAGGTTAATAATGTCACTCACGAGAAGTAAATTAAGATGAAGAATGAAATCCCAGGGATATTTTCATAAAAGTCACTGTGATGGATAGATGTGGAAGCCAGGTGGCTTAGGAGTCAATGGGAGGTGAGGAAATGGACACATGACTGTAGGCTGCATTTTAAATGATGTTACTCATGGAGAGGAGAGTGGTTGCCAGAGTGGGATGGACGTTTTTGTAAAGTTTATTTATTTTTAAGTTTCACATGGCCTGTAGTATGCTTATGGGACTCAGGGCGCAGCTCCTGGTGGTGAGGTTGAGATATGGGAGAGGGGACCTCTGAGGAGGCGCTGCCCAGGGGGAGGATCAGTCTGAGCAAGTTCATTGCTTTTTCTGAGGCTCAGAAAAAGAAGGGAGGTGGAGGCAGAAATAAGGGCTTTGAAAATATTAATTTGGGGGACTGAGGGAGTTTATATTTTTCAGCTTCAATTTTCTTGGTGAGGAAGGAGAGAAGGTTACCCTTGGGATAAAGTAGATGATGGGACAGTGGTGGGTTTGAGAAGAAGGTCTGAAAGGTCACCGCGGGGAAACAGGAGAAACAGCCCAGGGGTGACAGGTCTACCTGCCTCCGCATGCTAGCCAGTGGTCGCCTTTATACAATGCAATGATCAAGACCAGTGTGAGGCGAACCAGTGAAGGCCTAGGCCTTGAAACAATAGCTGGTGACATTGAGCTGAGCTTTCCTACCTCTACTGTCACTGCTTCAGTTAGTGCTGATCCGCAGGAAGGACATCTTGGTACACGTGTACTGCAAGGGCACAGATGACAGAGCCTTCACCACACCACCCTGCAAGCAGCCTTCCCAAGGGATGAGCACCAAGGACGGGTGCACTTGTTATTGGTTTGATTTCCAATTTGATAGCAAGTTTCTAGGGGTGGGGGGAGACGAATCCAGGCCACAGGCCCTCCAGGCTCTCTTCAATGGCCCAGTTGTGGCCTATTCACTGGCAGCAAAGGGAAACTGTTCAGCTACTGAGGGATAGGTGGATAAACCCAAAATAGGTCACTGCCTGGAAATGTTGAAGATGCCTAGACTGCCATTGTACCTCTTCACCCAACCATTTTGTATGGAATGTTTTGCTTCTCATCAGCTTTTGTTTGGTGATCCAAATTCTGTCATGTTTCTGTCAAGTGCTGACTCTTAGAGGTTGGAATTAAGTTGTTTGTTTGTTGTTGTTGTTTTTAAAGCATTTCCAATTCATCTTACTTCTAGGATTCTAAATGATTTTAGTTGACAAACTGTGACTACCTCAGCATTGAGACACTGAGGAGTATATGGATCCTCTGTGGCCTGGATTTCCTTTTCTATCTTGGCATAGATGGAATGTTTGTGTCCTTCCACCCCCAAATTAATATGTTGAAGCCGAGTGTGATGGTATTTGGAGGCGGAGCCTTGGGGAATTAGGGTGAGATTAGATGATAAGGGTGGGGTACTCCTGATGGGATTAGTGGCCTTATAGGAGAAGTAAGAGCCCGATCTCTCTCTCCATGCCTACAGACCGAGGAAAGACCCCGTGAAGACACAGTGGGAAGAGGGCCATCTGCAATGAGCTCTCGCCAAAAACTGCATCAGCTAGCACCTTGATGTTGGACGTCCAGCTTCCAGAACTGTGAGAAAATAAATTTCTGTGGTTTAAGTCACCCAGTCTGTGGTCATTTGTAATGGCAGCCAGAGTTGACTAGGATAGCATCACAATGTAAAAACCAAACAACCAATGAAACAAACAAACAAAGGAAGTACATGGTCACAGATTTTTACCCAGCCAAGGTCCTTCTAATACTACTAGTAAGAATCCTCCTTAGTTCTTGAGCAGCAGGGCAACTATACAATGCCATCCTTAGAGGGTAGAGGGCCCAAACCTGGCATACAGCCCTTGTCTTTTAGCCTTCCATTTCTTAAGGCTTATGTAGGCTCTTAATCATAGCATCATTAGGGTTAAATTTCAGATGGAAAATTGTATGAAACACATGCTGAGTACACTTGCTCTCAAGTGGTATTAAATCACCTTGTTATTTATTAGCCTCTAGAATGCTCTAATTTACATGTGGTCTCTCCTCCTTGGGGTACTTCAAGTAAATCTGAATTTGTTTATACGATTTTATGGGTACTATAAAACCACAATTGAATTTCAGGCCTTTGTAGTCATCCAGCCTTGCAAGATGCTCTCCAATTAGAAATAATTGCTGTTAATGCTGTTATGAGTGGTGGATGCCCACTACACCCAGACCTTTGTTCTACTAAATCCCCTAAGAGTCTCTTCTTTATGCTTCAACTAAATAGACAGGCCCCTAGAAGATACGCTTTTGGAATTGTAATAGAGGAGCAATATTGTGCCTCTCTGTTAATTAACCTTGTTAACCAAGGATTTGGAACTTCAGTTGGTTAGTCAGGGGGCCTTTTGATCCTCTCAGTACACATCTCCAGTCGAGTAGGATGTCACTCTTGTGAAATAAGATGCCCTTTCTTCTTTGGCACATACCAAACAGCTTTATTATTCTCTGAGTAATGATGCAATATTCCTCTTTGATGAAATCATGTGTATAAAGTGCTGAGATTCGTGCCAGGCACAACAAATATTAGCTATCATTTTTATGATCACAAAACAAGTTTTTTGTTTTTGTTTTTGTTTTTAAAAAAGACTTTCTGAATGGAAAGGAAATACAGGAGCAGCATTGTCGGAATCCTACGGACAGCTCAAGATAAACCAGTCCACAGTGGACTCCAGACTCCACATCCCTATTGCTCTAAGAGCAACTTACCCCCAAGATATTTAAACTCTTTTCTTTGGACTCTCACAGGGTGACCCAAGGTACCTCTCATCCTTTCCTGTTCCCCACACAAAAGGAAGTCAGAGACAAAGGCTGCTGCTTTTCTTGCAAGGCAGGTGCCCCATCCAGCTTGGGAAGGAGTTCCAGGGTATGGTAATGACCACATTTTGCTTAATCTTCCTTTTATGGTGAAATCTCCAAACCATGCATGCAGTTGGCCAGTTGATTAAACCAGGGGTGGGCAAACTTTTTGACTCGAGGGCCACAATGGGTTCTTAAACTGGACCGGAGGGCCGGAACAAAAGCGTGGATGGAGTGTTTGTGTGAACTAATATAAAGTCAAAGTAAACATCATTACATAAAAGGGTACGGTCTTTTTTTTTTTTTTTTAGTTTTATTCATTTCAAACGGGCCGGATCCGGCCTGCGGGCCGTAGTTTGCCCACGGCTGGATTAAACTGTAATGAAGGCAGCACTGATGAGTGCAAACGCATAAAATAGTCCACCCTATGGAAGAACATCTCAACATGAATCCCAACCTGAAATACTAAATGAAACTAACCACATGAATGTGTCTTCTGGATTAATAGGTAGCAGTTTCTCTAATTCAGTAGAATGTCCCTTTCAGAGTGAGAAGCACCCATTCTTTGACCTCTTTCAGGAAGAAAAATGTGGTCCCATTCAGAGTTTGACGTAGGGTCGCTGTCTACCAGGGATTTCAGGGAATGGACGGTCAGACTCCCTCACAGCGGCCCCCGATGTACCTGCAGCCGGATTGGCACTTACTCTGTGAGCATCTGGGGCATGGAGAAGCAAGCATTTGTGTGGCTGCTTTGGAAAGATGGACACGGGAGGCTGGCTTTTTCTACACCAGGGAGCACACAGAGGTTCAAAAAGGTTAAGGTGAAGAGCAAGGTGACAGGACATCTAGAATTGTGTGTCCTCTGGAAAGAGGGCACTCCCGCTAAACACGCATCACGTGAGAGGGTTCTCTCTCTCTCACGCCTACTGTAAGCAGAGATGACAAAAATGAGCTGTTTTTATTCATCATAAATAAAAGCACTCGACAAAAAACCGGATGGCAACATTATTTTCAAAAGTATTGGCTGAATATTCCAGTCCAGATAGAAGAACACGAATGGTACTTTTCATCTCCCGATATATTCTGTCAGACAAAAACCCTTCCCTTCATTGAAATAAGCAGTATGTAATGTTGGGTTTTAGATGACATCAGCCATAGAGTTGGTCTTCAGTTCTTTTTCTTTCCAACGAAGCCATCCATAAAATTGAAGGCACCCACATATTCACCTATGAGCAGTAGCAACTTGGTGGGCAGGACACTACAGAGAAACCAAGAGAAAACTTTCTCGGTTATCATTCATAAAAGCATCCTGACAGCACAGCTCGACAGCAGTGCCACCGACCTGTCGCGGGAGAATTCACGCATGCGCACACTGCTATGCATGCCCCAGTGTCACCCGGGGCTTGTCTACATGTGGGAGGACACCAGCCCAGGGTTTCTACCCCTCCCTCTGCTTTATTTACGTCATTCAACTGACTTCCCACGTCCATTTCCAAAGCTGCCCTACACGATGTAATGATGGGCTGGAAGCAGGGACGTCTCGTGGAGTCAGATGAGCCTGGCTTGAAACCCAGCTCTGTCATGTACGATGTCATCGCAGGCAAGTTGCTGAGCTCGGGGGCCTCAGTTTCTTCCAGTGTAAAATGAGGCCATTCATCTTTCTTCCTGGGCCTACTGTGAGGATTAGATGCAATAGCTCCTCAGATGGCGGGCAAGTTCCAACTAAGAACTTGTTCATCTTCTCCACCCCCACGCGCCCCTCCTGACGCAGCACTCTGACCCTGCGGATGCTGACATTCACACTGCAGAGCGAGGAGAGGGGCAGTAAACAGAGCAGGCCCAGGAAACCTGACCCCTGAGCTAAGGGGGGGGGGGATAAAGTAAAGGACCTGTGCTGTCCCTTGGGGGGGCACCCCAAGAAACCCAGGCGGTTCCTGCCCTCCCCAGCTTCAGGTCTCTAGTAAATGTGACCTTTTCCAGGAGACCTCCCCTGAGTACCATACTGAAAACTAGACCTCAACCTGCACCCCCGATCCTACCACTCTGGAATTTCCTTTTCCTGCTTCCTATTTCTTTGTAGCACTTATGACCTCCTAGCATATCTTCTCTTTTACTTTATTATTTTTTGTTTATTCCCTGATCCCTACCCCTTAGGACAGTGATGGCGAACCTTTTGAGCTCAGCGTGTCAGCATTTTGTAAAACCCTAACTTAACTCTGGTGCCGTGTAACATATAGAAATTTTTTGATATCTGCAACCATAGTAAAACAAAGACTTATATTTTTGATATTTATTTTATATATTTAAATGCCCTTTAACAAAGAAAAATCAACCAAAAAAATGAGTTCGCGTGTCACCTCTGACACGCGTGTCATAGGTTCGCCATCGCTGGTCTAGGAAGATAATTTCCACAAGGGCAAGGACTCTTGTCTCTCTTATCCTTTGCTGTAACCCCCAATCCTAGGGTCGTCAGCAATGCCTGCACACACCAGGCACCCTCTAATGCTTGTGGGATGTTGGAAGGAGTGCGTGCTGTGATCCCCTTCTTCATGCTTTCAAAGCCTTCTCAGGAATTATGCAGACCCCACCCTCAATCCGGAGTTTACATAAGTAAATATCAACTCTATAATTATTTCAAAAATTAGAAAAAGTAAATCCCAAGTTCTTTACAGTTGGCATTAACCTCTGTTAGGCAAGTGGAGGCACTGTCCTGTGAACACGCACGCTGCCCAGTAAAGTCATTACGTTCACTCATTCACAAGCTGCAACAAGCACTGATTTCTGCACTGTAAATGAGGAAATTGGACCTGGAGAATAAAGGTCATGCTCAGAGTCACAGGCTTAGTACACAGCAGGATTATAACTCCAGACCTCAATCTCCTTGCCATAGACTCCTTTGCCCCACCCCACACCTTAGCAGTTGGATCAGTCACCACTCCTGTGCTAGGTGAAGCCTGAGGAAATGAAGGCATGGAAGAATGATTTTTGGTTAATTGTATAAAGTAGATACAATTAGCTACAGAGAAAAGACTTTTGCTTATGCAGGAAGGGCACCTTTTTTTTTTTTTGTCAAGCTCTCCCCTGGAGCTGAAAACACACCAGAGTGAGCAGAAACCAACTGGCGTCTGATCTCCAGGAACTGACGGCTCAGTGGGGAGGCAGCCGATAATCCAAGGATCTCACAAATCAGTGTGCCATGCAGCGGTGAGATGTCTGAGGAGGCCAGGCTCAGATGCTAGAAGAGTATGCATTGAAGCCGTTTGGGATATTCTGGAAGGCCAGGGAAGGAATGTTTCATCTAAGAGGGGGCACAGTATGTGCAAATGCCCTGCACTGTTTCCAGCGCCGGGGACTCTGCGGGTGAGGCTTCTCCTGGTAGGATTTGGGGAAAGTTGTTGATCGGTACATTAGAGAAGTCATAGAAGCTGACTGATATTGTTACCTTTTTAAAAACATCAGGACGTATATAAACTTTGGTATATACAAGTACACTTTTTCTTGCAGGATAGCATCTACTATCTTTCTGACTACATACTCTGGTTCCAGAATCGGTAACAGAGAAGGACAGCTAGGGAGTGAAAAAGAAAAAGACAAAAACAAAAACAACCAAAATTAACAAATTAATAAAAACAGTTCTTGCACATTAAGCATAAAAAGACTGTAAGACATTATCATTTATTTGCTTCATTCCCTCCCAGATTTTATCTACTTCTATATTTACTCCCTGATTATCAACATGGTAATAACTGGAATTTGAAATGGAAAATGATGATTCTAACGAATACACTGATGTATAATATGCATATAAGTAAAACCACATTAAATAAACGATCTATTAGTATAAAGCAAGTCTTTGAAAAACGAATTTCCTGTCATCTCCATGAGATGCAGAATGGGGAATTTGTGTCCCTTTAAGTGATTTTCAGTCCTCCTGTGGAATCAGGGATGAGGGGAGGAGGGAGTTGGGTGGCAGAAAAGGAATGTGATTGAGTGCTGGGGAGACAGGTGAGCAGATCCAGGCTACAGGGTGGCTGCGAGTGAGACACGGCTTTGATAAACCATTCACATTAAACCCAACATCTTAAATATAAGCATTTCTGAGTAAAAAATAAATTCTGAGACCATTCATAAATCATGCTGAATCCGAGAGAAATACATTTTTAAACAACTTTAAGAAAACAGTTAGAAAAGCCCAGCCGAGTGGCTCAGTTGGTTGAGTGTTGCCCTGTGCACCGAAAAGTTGCCAGTTTGATTCCTTCTCTAAGTATGTCCTGAGGTGAGGCTTTAAAAAAGTAAAAATAAAAAAAATAAATAGGGGACCCTTTCCCTCTCCCTACGTGGGAGTCTGTACTTGTTCTTCAATAAATCTCCATCTTTGCTATACCAAAAAAATAAATAAATTTAAAAAATAAATAAATAAACAGATAGAAAAAATAAAAGAGGCGATTATTTTTTAAAATGCAGTTTCTTTGATCTTACAGGATATACTTACCCAGTAGTACAACCTTCAAACATTCCAGTGTTTATAAAAAATGGGCACACAATAGTGGTTTTGATCCCCTTTATTTTCTGGGCAAATAGTTCGAAAAAAATAGATTCAGCAAATCCATACGCTGAAAATTTACTTGCACAGTAATCTGAAAAAGACAAACAACGCTGATGTACCTTCTGAAGTTTTAAAAATGGCATTGCATTAAGTCTCCTCATAACACTAGCCAACAGAAAATCAGACAACGATTTCAGAGTTCTTGTTTCGTGTGTTGGTCCACTCCGACTGGAAGAAGTGCAGACTGAGTGGGGAGGTACATGGTCACACAAAGTTCAGTTGATAAAGACTGAGTGGATGCTGGAGAGCCTCCTACAGTCACACTCCTAGCCTTTACTTCCACGTTATAAATGGTCAGACATGTGCTAGCTGTTATATGGGGCACATGGCATGTGCATCTAGGCCCAAAGAATTTCAACCCAATTGGGGCAGGAAGGCACGTAAAAGAGGAAATATAGTAAGCGATGCAGTAGGCTAGGCAAGAGAAGGCAGCCTGGGTCATGATACTCAGATCAAAGTTTCTTCCAACTCTAGTTCTTTCTCCCACTTTCAGAAGAAAAACGAAGGACTCTGTAGCTTGTCCATTTTGAGCTTGCTGTCTTCAATCACTCTCACTTCAAGTAAACACCTGGATTTTCAATCTGCTGCATGGAAAAGTTTGGAGTAGAAAAGGCGTGTAATTGAGCTCCTCCTTCCCTTTGCCTCACACAGTCAAACAAGGTAAACATACTTGCTCTGTTCAGAAGCAGCTACCACAACTGGCAAAAGCCAGGAAATGAGTGCCAGGCGTGGGGATGTCAGGCCCGCTGCAGCTCAAGAAGGCAGGTAAGACCATAGAAAGAGGGAGGGGAGAGGAGTCCTGAGCCGCTTTTGGGATCATCTGAGTCATTTGGTCCAAATGCAGCTCACTGAGTCCCTCAACCCTGGAGACAAATAACACCCTTGGTGATTCTGATGCTGGGGAGCCAAGACCCCCACGGAGGGATTTACAAAAGGCTTACGCTTGTTTCTAAGGCCAGCTGGGGATGGAAGAATCCTTCTGAAGATAGAGAGGTACGGTGTCAGAAAAAAGATGAACAGAAGCTGTAAATATACCTGCATTATTTCTGAGTTTCATCATTGACCAGACATATACGAGAGAGGTAATGCTAACATGCGATGATTTCCGAGAATGACAGAGTACAGGGAGATGTGCACAGACTGAACATATTTTGGGTGACTGGTGGTTCTGGAAAACCGCTTCACCTAATTGAGATGAGCTGGGCCTAGACTGGTACTGTGAATCTTGGATTAAGTGGCTCAGCTCCAAAGCATCAGGAAGTGCCTCACGGGAAGGTTGGCCAAAGTTATCCGAGTATCGCAGCTAGGGCTTCTGATGCCCGAGTCTCCGGGATCTGCGTCAGTACATGGCATGTTGCTCCTGGGGACGCCCTGGTAGGGAAGGACAAGACTTCTGCTCCTCCGGGAGCCCCCTCCTGAGTTGGGCTGCCTTCACTGAAGATCTTGGTCTATCTCTTTGCCCCCTCCCCACTGCTAATGACAAGTCAGCTGCAAAGGAGAGGGAAGTGGCAACCACTTCCTTTAAGTCTTCCAATCAGTGGAAAAGCAAAGAGGTGAAGTTTAGGTTTCTTGGGGTGGAGAAATTATCTCCAAACTGACAGCAGGGGGAGACGTCAGAAGGCAGAGTGGTCATTTTTACCAACCTGAAAACAGTACCAGATGAATCTTGGGGATGGTGACTATGCTAATCACTTATGTAAAAACAGTCATCAGTAAGGTGTCTCCCCTCTCTCTCTCTCTCTCTCTCTCTCTCATTTTTAAACCCAGGGGACTATGTAAAACCTAATGATTCCAAAGTGCATACTTCAACTTCCGGTAGGTATATCTGATGGGCAGTTTTGATGCATGATGTAGTTCTCAACCACTTCCCTTATTAAATATACTTCTTAATTTTTTATCTTTATTATTGGTGCATCAGGTCAATGCTGATTACTCAGAACTATTATGTAAGTTAGAGCTAGGGAAAATGTGCAAATGTAAAATATTACACTTTTCTTACCTGCCAGCCCATTTATTCCAAATAATCCAGCTGAACTTGAAATGCAAACCAAGTGTCCATGCGCATTAGCGATCATAGCAGGTAGAAAGGCTTTATAAGTCTAAGATGAGCAAAATAAAACTTTTAATATTTTATACCACATTTTACTCTTTTTCAGATGTTTATATGATCATTGTGATTAAAAAAATTTTTTTAAGCTCACAAAAATACCTGAAGGCACTGCAATATAAAAACTTAAGTATCTGGAAAGTAACCATCTTAACTTGTTTCACCTATGAAATCAATATTTTCCGCATGGCATACCAATATTATTACAAATAATTTACTCAAACTTACATTTTGCTCATATTTGATTTTTCAAAACACAATATTAAGACAATAATTGAAGCAATACAGGAGAATCTTAGTTATGGCAGCCACAATCCAGAAAGGAAAAGATATCATTATTTAGATTATAATCAAGAATAAGATTATTTAGATTTATATTGCTCTTTTTCTCCTGGGATCATATTTGAATTTCAAATTTTTTTTTAACAGAGTTTACAGGACATGCTGCTGTTGGCTTCAGTATAAAAATACCACTTTGTTTTACATTTATCTCTACTTCTTTGAATAATAGTTTCTTAATTTTGTTCCATGTCATAAAAGAGAATATCTGTTAGAACGAGGGGACGGATACTGTGTTTGAGGACCACAGAACACCTTCACCTTTGATATGGGATTTGGAGAAAGAAGATAAAAGAAAGAGCAATGAGCTTTGGAAGAAGATGTATTCTGCAACAGAGGAATAATTAACCTATACGAATAACTGCATTTTATTTCATAAATTTACATTTCTTTTTTTTTTTTTTTGGCTTAAAACAACACAAATTTATTCTTACAATTCTTTAGGACAAGAGTAAAAAAAAAGGGTTTCACTGGGCTGAAATCAATGTGTGATCAGGACCACATTTTCTCCAGAGGCTTTAGAAAAAAATCTGTTCCTTTTCCTTTTCCAGCTTCTAGAGATCATCTACTTCCCCTGGCTCGTAGCACCCTTCCTACCAGCAGCCCCAACGCCCTGAACTCTGTTTCTGTCGCCAAATTGCTTTCTCTTTTCCATAAATTTATATTTCATATTTGTTTCCTACTATAAATAAAGATGAGAAAAAGAATCTCTTGTAAAAGTCAACCAACCTCTGTTTGTCTGCATCATAATGAGTTTCAGAGGGAACCTAACACTTACAGAGAGGAGGAAAATCCAAACAAGCAGCATAATAAAAACCGTGGCGTCCGCTCTGAGTCAGTTCTCCCTGGCAACACTCCCCTTGGGAGCCCTGTCACCATGCGCTCTCTGACCCTCTAGCAAGTAAGTGCCCACTCTGTGCAAGCACTCAAAGAACGTACTGGACTTGCTCAGAAAAAGGGTACAGAGAGGGCGTGAGGGGAGGTCAGGGCCAGCAGGGGAACATCAGTATTTCAGAAACACGTGGAAGAGAAAGTGGAAGAGAAAGAAGAGAAAGAGGAGACCATGAAAGTGACCAGGAAAGCCGAGAGGTGGGGAAAGAACATGAAAGCCCCAGAGTGGAGATTTTCAGGGACACTGTCTTTGTCCTCCTTCTGACGGGATATTACAACTTCATGCTAATGCAGCAGAGGGGCATTTGGGACAAGACAACACAAGCCACTTGCAGTAGTTCCTGAAGGAGCATGGTGGCCACTGAGTTCTGAATCTTTCCATCTTTCTCCTGAAAACTAAAGAGAACCCCAAGAGTACCACCATGGCATTTTTGGTGAAACTAGGAGACAGAAAACCTACAGTCTCTGGAAGCTGTGCAAGGAGAGTTGAGTGGAAAGTCCACGTGGAGGGGTGTGAGGAGAATGGAGGGGATCTCAGAAATCTCCAGCAAATAATCACTCTCAGAAGCAGAGCTGGACAAGGGAAGGATGAGCTATGGGTGGGGCGGGAACAAAATGGGCTCACGTGCTGGGAGAGGCAGAACGAGGGACCGTGCCTGGCATGGGGCGGCCTGATATGATTGGTCTCAGCTACAGCCAGGAAAACACAGTGTCTGAAAGTGGGCACATGGCTGTGCCCCTTGATGTCCACAGCACGCAGTCACCAGGGTTATTGGTAGGAACCTTTCTTTCCCTGGGTAGGTACTGAGTCAGGAGGCCGAATGTTTTGGTTTGCTCAGAACAGACCTGGTTAATGTTGCTTATTAAGAATGCCCTCTTTCGCTTTTTTCAAAAGAGTTGCAGCTTAGGCAAATGATAAGGTCACAAAAGTCTAAGTGCTGTCACTTGCGGTGTAGACTGAGTAAGTCTTTTAACTTTTGTGATTCCTTATCTCAAGGAGCTGTTTTAAGGCTCATGCCTGAGGTGCCTAGGGCAGTGAATAAATGATAGTAGTACCACAAGGACTGTCTTTGTAGGATTCCCTGGCGAGCTCTGGGAGTATGGGTTGAGTTGGATTGGGAGAAGATGACTGGGTAGACCAGGATAAGCTAAAATTGAGAAGACTGTGCTTTATTTAGAGGCTAATCTTTGTTATGAGAAGAAAAAATTATTACCCACAAATGTGCTTTGAAATTCACATCAAAAGCCTTTTCCATAAGCTCATCCGGGCAGTCGAGGAACCTTTTGCCTGTTACGATGCCAGCATTGTTGATTAGGATGGAAATGTCACCAACTTCTTTTTTAACCTGAATTGAGTAACAAGAGCAGCACCATCAACATAGTAATTTCTTATATGATCTAGGTTTAATCCCCGCGCCCCAACTTAAACCTTGTTAAGAGACTGAGCTTATGCAGTCTGGAAACAAAGCATGTTTTATTTCCTTTGCTGAGTGTACAGTGCATCAGCGATCCAAGTCTGATGCTTTTCTTTTTATTTCTTCCTCGCCTTATGATAATTCCAACAATGCAATGCTGCTTTCCTTCTACATTTAGAGCTATTCTTATATTTGGTGAGTAGTAACTTTGTTCTATGCTCTAAGAAGCATATAATTTTAATCAATGTGATGGGACATACACCCTTATTGCCACCTCTCTATATAAAGGCTAATATGCAAAGTGTCCCTTCGGGAGTTCGACCGACTGGCAGTTTGATCGCTCGCTATGACGTGCACTGATCACCAGGGGGTGGCATGGAATAAAGGAAGGTCCTGGCTGGCAGCTGGCAGCCAGCAGCTGGGAAGGGAGGCCCCAGCTGGCAGGACCATACCTGTGCACGAATTTCATGCACTGGGCCTCTAGTCCTATATAATAAAAGCCTAATATGTTAAGTGTCTGGTCGATATGTCATCCGTTCAACCAATCAAAGCATAATATGCTAATGATATGCTAAGGCTGCTCAACCTTAGCATGCTATGATATGCACTGACCACCAGGGGGCAGACGTTCTGACCTGTAGGTTAGCTTGCTGCTGGGGTCTGGCCATTCAGGACTGAGCAAGACACTCTGGACATGCCCTGGAGCCCTCCTGCTGTCCCTCTCCAGCTGTCCAACCTCCTGTATCCCTCCCTGACCCTGATCGATCATGACCCGATGGGGTCACTCGGCCTGGCCTGCGCCCTCTTGCAATCCAGAGCCCCTCGGGGGATGTTGGAGAGCAGTTTTGGCCTGATCCCACAGGCCAGGCTGAGGGTCCCCACTGGTTCACGAATTCATGCACCGGGCCTCTGGAGTCATATAAATCAAGACCTAGCAGACACAGAGATGGGGTGGTGTAGGGAGTGAATGGAGGAAGTATGATATTCAGTATATCCATGCTTTCAACACACATCATGGTTCAGAACCTGTCTATCCTGTTTTCATCAACTGGCTGGCTTTCTTCTCCCTCCCCCAAACTTTTAGGCATAAGATCTGTGAAGGGAGGAACAAATAGGCCACATTTGCTACAATGACACTGGGCCTACAGTAACTTGAGTGGTCATCCTGGGATGAGAGTAAGTTTGTGTTGTTTTATAAGGGGCTCAGGGGTAACATCTAAGGGAAAACACAGCAGATCCTAATTTTATACTTAGTTTTCTTCCTTCCTTCCTTCCTTCCTTCCTTCCTTCCTTCCTTCCTTCCTTCCTTTCCTTCCTTCTTTCTTTCCTTCCTTCCTTCCTTCCTTCCTTCCTTCCTTCCTTCCTTCCTTCCTTCCTTCCTTCCTTCCTTCCTTCTTTCTTTCTTTCTTTCTTTCTTTCTTTCTTTCTTTCTTTCTTTCTTTCTTTCTTTCTTTCTTCTTCCTGTCTTCCTTCTTTTTTTTCTCCGGCATTCATTATTCTTCCTTGTAGTAAGAATGTAGCAATAATCTCTTCAGCCCCAGGAAGACTTGCACATAAGCTGTGCCCACCTTTTGAATAGCCACACTATGACAATAAGAACCCACAGGAAGGCTGTGCATGTCAGTGTCTAACTCCACACTGCCCAGGATGGCTGATTTGACTTTCCCACCACTGTAAGTCATAGTGGGCAATAGGTTAAAGTCAACTTCTACCAGTGACCACGTGGTTTAAAAGATGAAGCAATCCTGAAGTTTGACCTTGGACATCTGGAATCAGTAATAAACCTTACAAAAAATTCACTGATACTACAAATACAAGCACACCTCATTTTTACAAATAAGGCAAGACCCTTCAACAGCAAAAAGATTACAACTCACTGTATTGAGTGGTCTGCAACTGAACCCTCAATGTCTCAGCAGTATGCCTGTAATGAGGTGGGGTTTTTTTTTCTGTTGAACCAATGCAGTCAATTAAAGGTATGTCAAGCAAAATTGATTATGAGTTGGCTTGTCTAAGGCATCACAGTTATTAAGTAGATAGTTAGGATACTTCTACATGCCACATTAAGGATAAGTGACAACTACATAGCTCCAGGCTGGTCTTGTGTTTACTGTTCCAAATGACCTCTCACCCAGGATGCCAGGTATCAAGGCCGGACTTTCAGTGCCAACTATGCTCTAGGGACACAAGCTTTCAAGGTGATTGGGGTCTCAGAGGAGATAAAACACTGTCAAACTGCTCTGACAATGTTCACCTGGATCACTCCTCTATGGCATACTTTGTAAAATTTCTCTGGATAGAGGTAGCTTCCCTCTATCCAGAATAAGAAGTGGAAATGCTTGGTTTATAAGGTGGAAAGTAGTTTGCTTCTCCTGAATGCAAAAGAGCATATACTTAATTGTCTGCAAGACCCAGATGTAAGAAAAGTTGAATAATAGGCTAGTAAATGCACCATGTTTGACCATTTCTGAAGCTGAGCATTTTGGGCAGAACTGAATTATGGATATGGAGCAGTGGGAACTATTTATGGAGCACCTCATATTAGCTTGTTCCACATTTGAAGATGTGTTTGAACACAAGCCAGTTATTGCTTAAGACTTGCCAGGGAAGTTATTTGTAATCAGTGTAAGTCAACCTGCCAGGTGACTGGTGCTTCAAGGACAAAGGGCTGAATTTGTGAGGTCAGCTCTGAAAAAGACACATCTGCTCTTTGCAGGGTAGTCCCAGCATGAGCCCTGCTAGCTTGTCAAGTTTGGGTCTCCAGACTGTTCTGGGCAGCCTGTGATTGGCGATGGTAGAACAGATGTGTAAAATGTAAAGACAAACTCCAACGAAAGTTACAAACTCACTCAATGGCCAGTGACCTGCAAACCTTTCTACTAGTTTTGAGCAGAGAAGCTGTGCAAAAACTTTCCAATGTAGTTGCTGTGCAAGAACTTTCCAGTATAGTTGCTGTGCAAGAGCTTTCCAATGTGGTTGCTTGCTTGTCACAAGCTGGTCTAGTTCCTCCCTTCTCACTAAATGAGGGAACCCTGGGAGTCACAAAAGAAGTGGCCCTGGAGAGTGATGTGTAGAATACTAGTGCCAGCATGAAAACAGATTAATCCTTAATAAGGAAAGGAGACAGTCAGCAAACAAGTTAGTCCCTCTACAAACTAAGAAAACCCTACCATTGGCATATTGGAGCTTTGGTTTCCTGAAAGCGTCCTAAATATGTGCATCTCTGTCATCGCTAAAGGAACAACTGAGGTTAACAGTCTTTAGGATGAATAAAATATTCTGATTTTTTCATGATAACTTCGGAGAAATACACATGCAAATCAAAGGCATTGTGGTGGAGCGGAAATAGCTGGATTTAAAATTAGACTAAATGTGGGTTTACACCTGGCTTAGTCATGCAGTAGCTCTGGAACCCTGAGCAGGTTAATATATCTGTGCCTCAGTTTCTTCACCCTCAAAGATGGTGCTATCACCTATCTTATATTGTGATAAGGGCCAGCACAGTCAGTATAGAGTGGTGGTCAGAGTACCTACTCAGGAGTCAACAGGCTCATGTCCCAGCTGTCGCTTTGCTACTTGTTATCTTTTTCTTAGGTAAGCTATTTACCTCTCCTAAGTCTTGGTTTTCTCATTTGTGAACTGGAGGTACTAATAGGCCTTACTTTATAGGATTATAATATATAATACATACAGGGTGCTTAACATGGTATATTGCAAAAATTCTAATTCCCACTCCCCCCAAATTTTTAAATTAAAGGAATGTTGGAGATAGGCAAATTGGCACTGAGAAAAGCAAACAGAGAAAGAAACTGATGTATTTCCAAGTATTTACATCGAGTTCTTACTACCCATAGCAAAGAGTAAGCACCCAAAATTTACCTGATCGGCCACTCGGTACACCTCTTCCTTCCTACTGCAGTCACAGGTATAGGCATAGGCTCTTGTGGCTCCGGCGTCCCGAGCCATGTTGCACGTCTCCTCATTCCCCTCCTTGTTGATATCCCAGAGAACAAGCACAGCTCCGAGGCGGGCAAATTTAAGGGCTAAGAGCCTTCCGAGTCCACTCCCAGCACCTGTTATGAGTACGATTTCACCAGCAACGTTCTTCCGTGGCTTTGGGATTAAGGTAAAAATCATAGTCTCCAGAAGACTAAATACTGATTTTCCTAAGAAAACGAATACTTTCTTTGCTGACTTCACGTTGGGAGCCATATTCTGACTGACACCTATGAAGACAGACAGACATACTCATATAAAGACCTAGGCGTCTACTCCCTCTGAGTTTGCTTGTTACATGGAGCTCATACTTCCTGAAATAGTGAAAGACATTGAGAAGCGTGATTTAAACATCTCTCCTGGTAGCAGACTCTGAACTTAAAAAAAGGAGGGGGCCCACTGGGATCGGATCTTGGCCAGCACCAAGCTCAAGCTCAACACACATCTGCATGCCCACTCAGCTTTGTTCATGAACAAATGTTCATTAACCAGGAACTGTAACTACACCCAAATTTAACCCAAAGAAGACGTTCATTATTTCTCAGAGTGAACTTTTTCTCCTAATAATCATGAGCCCTGTGGGCTGATTTATGTTCAAAGTCTTGACCATATCAAGCTTATGACATAACTGCTACATCTTTGCTTTTATTGCTGTCTCCTCTTAGATTCATGTTTTCTCATTTGCATTGTTGTTCTTAAATTACGTGTCACTATTTAAAATATGAGATTCAAGAGAAAAATGTAGGAGAAACCAAGATGGGGGCATAGGTAAACACCGGAAATTGCTGCCTCCCACAACAACTTCAAAAATACAACGAAAAGACAAAATGGCCATCATCCAGAACCACAGGAAGGCTGGCTGAGTGGAAATTCTACAACTAGAAGAAAAGAGAAAAGCACACTGAGACTCAGAGGAGCTGTGGATGTAAAGTGCAGAGGTACGGAGGCTCGAGCGTGTGGAAAGGGGCTGGTACCTGAGGACGCGGCTGTCTTTTTGAATCGGGAGGGAGTCACAAGCTCCAGACTGCTCTGAACTCCAGTTCTGGGAAGTCTCTGGGGACCCAGGACTCATATGGGGAGAAACTGGACTATCTGGCAGTGGGCAGAACTTGGAACTCGAGGGCGGCTTTCCCTCAGAGGTGCTTGCAGCAATTACCGGGACACTGAGACACGGGGCCACTTAGGGCAGGGCTGAGGATCAGCCATAGCTGCTTGCTCCGCCCTGTTGATTCCCTGAGATCCCGACCCACCCAGGCTGTGGCAGAGGCTTTTGCATATGAATGCCCTGGCCCTTTGCAATCTGAAAATTACCTAACAAATTGCAGCTGCCCAGACAGACCCAGAACTTCCAAGAGAAGGCCCAAGGCCCCACAGTAGCTTGCATTGCTTCACAGCTGGGCCTCATCTGGGCACCTCCAAACGCCCCCCAAAAAAGAAGGGGAATCTGCAGATCTCTTCGTAGCTCCTGCTGGGTAGCCTCAGGCAGAGGCTAAATTAGCACCTCCTTAGATCCAAGAGCCAATGTACCCAGTGGTCAGAGGGGGACCATCCAGATTACAACTCCTCAGATCCATAAGGGTCACACTCTGGGGGCAGATTCAGTGAGCACCAAAGCCCCACTGAAGCAAGTCTTGCCCCAGAAGGGTGTCCTCAGCACAGAAGTTCTCCCACTGCAGACACAGCTGATTCTCACAGCCAATTGGCCTGGAGGTCAATTCCTCCCAGCAATACCTACAACAATCAAGGCTTAACTACAAGACTGTGCACAAAGCCCACAAGGGGGTGCACCAAGAGTGTCCTCCTCAGGTAATTGGGGAGACTGAGCCACTGGGCCCTATAGGACATCTAGCACAGGAAGCCACTCTGTCAACACAGGGAAGCAGCCAAAATGCGGAGACAAAGAAACAGGACACAAATGACAGAAATGGAGGAAAGCAAACTATTGGATATAGAGTTCAAAACCATACTTTTAAGGTTTTCAAGAACTTTCTAGAAACCGCTGACAAATTTAGTAAGACCCTCAAAAAGACGGGTGAGACCGCCGATAAATGTAGTGAGATCCTCAAGAAATCTAGTGAGACCATCGAGGGTATGAAAAAGGACCAACTAGAATTTAAGCATACACTGACTGAAATAAAGGATATTATGCAGAGTTCCAACCGCAGACTAGAGGATTGCAAGAATCAAGTCAAAGATTTGAAATACGAAGAAGCAAAAAACGCCCAACTGGAAAAGCAAAACGAAAAATGAATCCAAAAATACGAAGATAGTGTAAGGAGCCTCTGGGACAGCTTCAAGCGTACCAACATCAGAATTATAGGGGTGCCAGAAGATGAGAGAGAGCAAGATATTGAAAACCTATTTGAAGAAATAATGACAGAAAACGTCCCCTACCTGGTGAAAGAAATAGACTTACAAGTCCAGGAAGCGCAGAGAACCCCAAACAAAAGGAATCCAAAGAGGACCACACCAAGACACATCATAATTAAAATGCCAAGAGCAAAAGACAAAGAGAGAATCTTAAAAGCAGCAAGAGAAAGACAGTCAGTTACCTACAAGAGAGCACCCATACGACTCTCAGCTGATTTCTCAACAGAAACTTTGCAGGCCAGAAGGGAGTGGCAAGAAATATTCAAAGTGATGAATGCCAAGAATCTACAACCAAGATTACTTTATCCAGCAAAGCTATCATTCAGAATTGAAGGTCAGATAAAGAGCTTCACAGATAAGGAAAAGCTAAAGGAGTTCATCAACACCAAACCAGTATTATATGAAATGCTGAAAGGTATCCTTTAAGAAGAGGAAGAAGAAGAAAAAGGTACAGATACAAATTATGAACAACAAATACACATCTATCAACAAGTGAATCTAAAAATCAAGTGAATAAATAATCTGATGAACAGAATAAACTGGTGATTATAATAGAATCAGGGGCATAGAAAGGGAATGGACTAACTAGTGGACTAACTATTCTTGGGGGGGGTAAGGGGTGGGGATGTGGGAAGAGACTGGACAAAAATCATGCACCTATGGATGAGGACAGTGGGGGCGGGGGGGTGAGGGCAGAGGGCGGGGTGGGAACTGGGTGGAGCAGAGCTATGGGGGAGAAAAGAGAAATAATTGTAATAATCTGAACAATAAAGATTTAATTATTTAAAAAATAAATACATAAATAAAAGGTGTGATTTTGAGCAAGCCAAAAAAAAAAAAAAAAAAAAGGAGAAAAATGTAAAACCCTATTTGCATAATGTATTTTAAGAAGACTAATTAGACCTTCTAAACCAGTGGTTCTCAACCTTCTGGCCCTTGAAATACAGTTCCTCATGTTGTGACCCAACCATAAAATTATTTTCATTGCTACTTCATAACTGTAATGTTGCTACTGTTATGAATCGTAATGTAAATATCTGATATACAGGATGGTCTTAGGCGACCCCTGTGAAAGGGTCATTCAACCGCCAAAGGGGTTGCTACTCACAGGTTGAGAACCTCTGTTCTAAACCTTTTCTGATGAATTCACCATCAGCTCTGGGTCCCTGCGCCCTATCATTTACCACTCAGACCTAATGGTTGTTGGACATCAGTGAGAGACAGATCTGGATTCCAGTCCTGTCCTACCCCTGCCTGGCTGTGAAACCTGGGGCAGACTCCATAGCCTCTCTGGTCGAGGTCTCCTCATCTCTACTTACTGGTCCTGTGGCATAGAGTAGTTTTGCAGATGAAAAAAAAAAATGTATGTCACGTGCTTGACCCATTCTGGCTCACAGTGCTTTACAAATGTTATCATGTTTTTCAGATTCATGGTGCTGCTCGCCAACAAGGTGAAAGAATAACAAATCTCCTCCCGACAAGCGCATACGGGGCTCTGCACTTACATCCCGTTATCAGTTACTTGCACTTCAGTGGAATGAGTTTATAACATGCTTTAATAACAACCCACTGAAGAAAAGAGAAAGGTCTGATTTCCTCCAGGATGAGAAGATGTGTTTAGCAGGGGGCGTGCTGTGGTGGGGATGGGAGGTTGCCCTGAGTGGGGAGCTGTAGAGAAGAGACAGAGGAGGGCAGACAATGTCCATGAAAGAACAGCAGGTCCTCACTTTGCAGTCTGGTTGAGGATAAACTAATTACTATTAATGACTATGAGTGGATAGAATCATGTATGGATCGTGGTTGCCCCCTTCAGAAATGATTGTGACCAAAACTGTAGTTTCTTGTGACTGAGGATCAGAAACAACGTGTATGCAGTTTATCCAAGGTCCCTGTGCTAGCTAAGGCAGGGCCAGATGTTCATTTATTATGTTTGTTGAGCATTGATGCTGGGCACTAGGGCTGAGGGGATGGGCAGCCTCCCGTATTCTCTGGCCTGGTAAGCTAAGGATCTAGTTGAAGAGATAGACATTAAGTGAATAAATATAGGGTGTCCCAAAATCCACGCAAGATTGCAAATCTTGCGTGGATTTTGGGACACCCTATACATCAGTGATGGCGAACCTTTTGAGCTCGGCGTGTCAGCATTTTGAAAAACCCTAACTTAACTCTGGTGCCGTGTCACATATAGAAATTTTTTGATATTTGCAACCATACTAAAACAAAGATTTATATTTTTGATATTCATTTTATATATTTAAATGCCATTTAACAAAGAAAAATCAACCAAAAAAATGAGTTCACGTGTCACCTCTGACACGCGTGTCATAGGTTCACCATGACTGCTATACATCATCACAATCCATCTATCTCTCTATATAAAAGCCTAAGCAACCAAATGACCATTTGACCAGTCACTATGATTCGCACTGACTACCAGGGGGCAGAAGCTCAACGCAGTGAGAGCACTGCTCAGCTAACTGACAGGTGCCAGATGCTGGGCTCACAGATGGCTCCTCCTGGGCCACCTACTGCTTGGTATACTCTTACATCCCTCAGGGGATGTTGGGCTGCCAGTTTTGGCCCTATCCCTGGGGATTGGGGGAAACCAGCAGTCCAAACCGGCTGTCCGACATCCCCCGAGGGGTCCCGAATTGCGAGAGGGCACAGGCCAGGCTGAGGGACCCCACCAGTGTATGAATTTGTGCACTGGGCCTCTGGTAGATTTATAAAGAAAAGTGCAGGGAGCTATAGAGAATAGAAATTAAATTGTGGTGAAGGTCAGAAGCAACAGGAGAGATTTGCCAGGAATGGACATTTGAGTGGATATCCATATGATGAATGGTGAGAGGTAGACAGATCTGGGAGTAGCTCACCCAGTAGAGGGACAGAAGAGTTTAAGCCTTAAGGTAGGTTTTACCTGTGTGACCAGGGAATAAGAATGCTGGCAGTGAGGGGCATAGATATTCTGGTTAAACAAAGAGTGGTTTCTTCTGTGGCACTCTGAGTTTCACCATCCTTGGAATGAAATGGCCTTCACACTCTCTGGCATCTTTGTTCAAATTTATTTTCACAGAATAGCTTGGATAATTGCTTGGGCATCCCAGGCCCTACAGGACTTGGAAAGAAGGTACCTGATGGGTGAACAGCGGTATTCAGACTCTTATATAAAACTAGAGGCCCAGTGCACAAAATATGTGCACTCAGGGGGTTCCCTCAGCCAGGACTGCAACCTCTCGCAGTCCGGGAGTCCCTGAGGACAGTCAGACATCCATAGTGTTGCTGCAGAGACAGGAGAGGCTCCCACCACCACTGCTGTGCTTGCCAGCCATGAGCCCAGCTTCTGGCGCACTAACCACCAGGGAGCAGATCCTGCATCGAGCATCTGCCCCCTGGTGGTCAGTGCACGTCATAGTGACCAGTTGTTCCACTGATCTGCATAATAGCCTTTTATTATATAGGACTAGAGGCCCGATGCACGAAATTTGTGCATGGGGCAGGGAGGGTCGCCTCTCCAATCTGGGACCCCTCTGGGCATGTCTGACTGCCGGGTTTGGACATCCCTCTCACAATCCTTGACTGCTGGCTCCTAACCGCTCACCTGCCTGCCTGCCTGGTTGCCCCCAACTGCCACCCCTGCCAGCCTGGTCCCCCATGCAGCCTGCTGTTCAGTCATTTGGTCACCCCTCACTAACCCCCCTGCCAGCCTGGTTGCCCCACACAGCCTGTTTGGTCATCCGTTCAGTTGCGATAGTTGCTTAGGCTTTATATAGATAGATAGTCATGGGGTGTGTACCTGCAGACCTGCAAGGATGAGGGTCAGACTTTCTACAGTAATGTGACACCCCAGGCACCCTCCCCAGGTAGCAGCCTAGGCACTGCCAACACTCCTTCCACAAGAAAGCCAATACCAGGCCATCCATGCCCCTTTTAGGCACACCACTATGTAATTCCTAAGAAAAGCCATAAAAATTAAATAAGTTAATGCAGGTAAACTATTAAGGGGTGTAATATGGTTATACAGTCAATACTACCACATATGAGACCTTCTGGGGGAAAAAGAAGGTCCTCATTGCCCTCTCAGGATGCATAGGTTGGGGGTGGGATGGGACAAGAGGAGCGGGGCCAGATTTCAGGGCCTGCCAGGTTACAGGCTTTGGTAGAACAGTGATAGGCACATAATGGCAGCAAAATAAATATCAGAGCTATGCCTGGTGTTACTTCTAGCATATAAATTATTGATCCTTGGATATACCAATTAAAAGATGGCTATAGTAAGTATGCTTACAAACAAAAGTAAAGCACTAAAATATAAAGTTCCATTTTAGTGTAAAGACTCTTCCTTCCTTAGGAAATGACTGCATATTAAATGTAAGGCTGGCCCTGGCCGGTGTGGCTCAGTTGGTTGGGCATGGTCCTGTGCACTGAAAGAAAGGTTGCCAGTTCCATTTGGTTGAGGCACATGCCCAGGTTGCAGGCTCGATCCCCGGTAGGGGGCGTGCGGAAGGCGGCAGGTGGCTCTCTCTCTCTCTCTCTCTCTCTCTCTCTCTCTCTCTCTCTCTCTTTAAATCGATTAAAACATTTAAAACGAAAATTTAAATTTAATCAGGCTGAAGACTTCTTTGGTGTCTCCATCCTATGCTTCCTAGTCCAAGCTGAACTAAGCTGGTGCACTGGAAACAGGTGATTTATACTTCACAGGCCAGGGGGCAGCAGCAAGTGGGTCCTGGTAAGGGGACGGGTGAGGGGCCAGGGGGTGTTGGGGCGCTGGGGAGGGAGAGGAAGATGCATCCAGCAGCGGAGAGCAGGGCACCTAGGCTGAATGGACCGAAGAGGGGACCAGGGAGTCCCCCTGCCCTCTGCTCCGGGTTGGGGAAGGAGGCAAGCAGCTCACCCCCGCGGGGCTGGGTGCCGCCTGGCCTCCGATGCGGGACGCTCTTTCAGACTCGCCGCGCCCTCCCCCCCCGACACCCCCCCACACACCCCCAGCACTATGCCCCGGGCGCTGCGGGCTGGGGAGCCTCGGGCGCCACTCCCCCTGGAGGTCGTGCCCCGTCCCTGGACCCGGACTTCGCCAACTCACCCGGGACACGCTGCCCTCGCTGCGCGCGGAGAAGCCTCTTCGTCCTCCTCGGGCACCGGGGCGCTGGCTGGCAGCCCCACGAGGCTCCGGGATTTATCCCGGCACCTGCTGGAGACCACGCCCGAGGGCGGGTCGGCCGCGCCCCCGAAAGGGGTGGGGCGGGCGTGGGTCCCGCTCCTTTCTTTTCTCCCCCGGCGCCCGAGAGAGAAGCTGGAAATCAGGTCGAGAAGACCAGATGCGCCAGGATTTCAAACACAAGACGCACCCGCGGATGTTCAAGATTCCCAGAGCCAGGCTGCTCCGTGGATTATTACACCTGAATTTCTGAGTTGGAAGGGCCCCACGTGTTTCCAAGCACAGCCCCGAAGCCGGGCACCCTGGAGTTAGAGAACAAAGAGGAGGCGGGTGCGGGAGGCCGTGCGGGGGAGGGAGCTAGTCCTGCCGGTGCAGCCTGCCGCGCTGGCCTCGGAGGCTGAGCCCGCCCGCCCCGTCTAACGCTTCCATCTGGGATCAAGGTTATCAGCTTCCCAGGTCCCGTGGCGGTGAGTAGTGTGGGCGTGGGAGAGCCTCGGGCGGCGGGGGCAGTGAGGGCGGGAGTGGGTGGGGGGCTAGCAGAAGACTGAGTGGAGGGCGAGGGGAAAGTTTGTTCATCAAGGTGAGGGTGAGAAAAAAGAGAAAAAGTCAACAGTGCACTCCGATCCAATCGGCATTGGCTAGTATGCATCTTCTCTGTGTACAAGGATCCAGGAAACAGCAGTGTCACATCTGCCAAGAAAAAAAGATAAAAATCACTTAACATAAGCTAATCATCTAATATAAGCAGAGCTCCCCATTGCACGCTCGTAATAGAGGGTGGAGTTTGCTGGGTGGCATCAGGAGCAGAAATATTAAGTGATGGGGTATTGAAGGAAAAACGGGTTGTCAGGACAAGATTGCGGTTGGAATTCACCCAGGGTTGGGGAGGATGCATATAAGTGACGAGTGGTGAAGGCTCAGAGGAGAGCAGCGTTAGGCAGCCTGTATCTGGGACAGACCTGGGTGTGTGAGGACTGCACATAGCTGTGAGAAGAAACAGGTGAGTGGTCTAAGCCTGGAAAGGGAGGTGCCGGGGAGAGCCTGGAATGTCATTTCAGTATTTAGGAAGTGACTTGTATTCTGTAGGCTGTGGCGAGCCGTGGTCCGATTGGGAAGTGAATGGAGCAGGTGTGTGTGCACTGATTTCAGTGTGGGCATGCTTCTGGGAACTACAGAGTTTTTTTTTTTTTTTTTTTTTTTTTGGGGGGGGGGTGGTGAGGAGAAGGGGTAGACATATTCTTGAACTGCACATGTCTGGATGATAGACATGCACCCTCTGTGCCCCTGTGCATAGAAGAGGGGCACTTGGACAGGCTGGATGAGGAGGGGTAGCTGGGCTGGAAGGGCCTTCCAGACTTCAGAGACAGACTGGTGGGTGGGACCAGGTGTGGAGGTGAGCAATGCCTGAGAATGAGAGTGACTAAGACTTGGAAGGTTGGGTAATGGGCTCCAGGCTGTATAGCCTGCCTGGAAGAGAGAACATTACAGAACAACCAGCCTTATGTCATCTTCATGGTTTCTCTGAGCAAAATCCTGGGCTCTCACTCTATTTCCCGGTCAGCAGGTCAGAGTAGACCTCAAGAAAGAAATCTCAAGCATTGTTAGAAATCTCATTAAAACTAAATATGAGTGCAGAGAAGTGGGGTTTCACTGATGATGTAATTAAAGGATCTGAACTTGAGCCCTGCTGTTTGGAGAAGGCCCCACTTTGACGTGACGTGGGATAACTCTTGACCATAATCCTGAAAGCTAAGAAAAATATTTTTAAAGGGTCCTTTGTGGCAAAGGCCAGGAATAGACAATTAATTTGTGATGGAAGATGCAGAATGGGCTAATGAATTATGAAAAAGATGCTCAAACTTCATTCTTAGTTGGAGAAAACAGTTCTAGTCTTCCAAGCCAATAAATGTTAAAAGAAAAAGAATGGTTTCATACAGGGTTGGTGTAAAGTATACATTTCTAGAGAGCAAGTATCACCCATTCCACCTGTGGGCCTTTATCTTTACAACAAAATTAGGTATCATTTTAACTTCAGGAAGGGAAACTGGTCACCAGGAGTCAGAGGTTAGAAAGGAGACTTAAAAAAAAGATTAAATTTTTATTTTTGAAAGTATTACATATGTCCTCCTTTGCCCCCCATTGACTCCTTCTAGCCCACCCTGTCCCTGCCCCAGGCCCTTAACACCCCATTGTCTGTGTCCATGGGTTATGCATATATGCATACAATTTCTTTGGTTGATCTCTTTCCACCCACCCCCCACCCATCTTCATCTTCCCTCTGGGATAGGAGACTTTTGACTATTTCAAACCATGGAAATGTATTACTCTTTCTAGAAATAAGTATATTAATAAAAAATAAAATGATTATTAATTTCTAAGAAATATGTGTGCATGGAGTGCTCTACAACCATTTTTTATAAAGTCATGTTTTTCAAGGATATAGGAAAATACTCTGCACATAGTGTGAATTAAGAAAGCATAGTATAAAACTAATTATATAATATGATGCTACATTTCTATCACAATTTTATTTATGTGCAACTAGAGGCCCGGTACATGAAAATTCATGCACTGGAGGGGGTGTCCCTCAGCCTGGTCTGCCCTCTTTCACAGTCCAGGAGCCCTCAGGGGTGGGAGGTGACCCAGTGATCAGGGGAGGGTGACGCCCCATCACACCTCTGCTGCTGCCACTGGTGGCAGCACAAGCCTTGCCTGGCCCTGGTTACCTGAGCCTTGGGCAGCCCTGGGTGGCTGGGCAGCCAACATCTGAGGCTTGCCTGTGCCTTGAGCTGGCCCTGGGCGGCTGGGCAGCCGACATCTGAGGCTCACCTGTGCCTCGGGTTGGCCCTGAGTGGCTGGGGGGCTGAGGGGACTGGGGGACTCTGGAGACAGGGCATGGGCCCAGCCTTGCCTCATGCCTGCCACCCCGGTGTGGCTGAGGGGACTGGGTGCTGCCATCTTGTGGCTGTGGGTGTCGCCATAGTTGAGGGCGTGGCAGCCAATTAGCATATTCCCTCCTTATTGGCTGTGGGCACAACCATCTTTGTGACAGTGTGAGGGTCAATTAGCATATCCCCTCTTTATTAAATAGGATAGGAATTCTGGAAGTAAATTCACCAACATCTTAGCATATTTATTATCAAGTAGTGGAATTTTGGTTGATTTTTCTTTTAGTATTTTCCAAATTTTCTATTATGTGCACATCACATTTTGATCTCATAAAAAAATGTTTTTTAGAACATACAAAGACATTTCCATTAAGATGGAATCCCTTTTCTTCCAAAAATCCCACTGAAATGAAAGGGAAGATAAAAAAGTGTGACTAAAAACATAATAGTACTAGAAAGAAAGGGACTACCAGTGAGGACTGACTAGAGGTTGGTAAGGAGATGGATCCCATTTCCAGAAACCAGAGCATAAGATACCTTAACCCAAAACACTCCCCGGGAAGGCTTTACAGAAGTGAGTCATTCTTCCCAACACAAACCTAGAGTAACTCCTACTCAATAAACAAACTCAAAGAGTGGAAATAGGACATGGGGCATCCAGATGGAATACAAGTCTTGACATAAAAAGACAAAACAATGAAAGTATTGAAATAAAATGCAGGGAAATTATTTTGTAATTTGGGGCTAGGCAAGGACCCCCGACCCCCAGCGCATTCATTTGACTACATAAAAATTGTCAACTTCTATACAGGGAAAAAATGCATAAGACAGGCAACAACTAGGAGAAAATATTTTCACATAAAGAATTGAAATGGAAAATTAGCTATAATTTATGGCATTTCTATAAACCAATTTGAGTAGGCTGTAGGAAAAATGGGTAAAGAAATGCAAAGGCAGTTCATAGGCAAATGACTGAAAAGATGCTAAATTTCACTGTTATTCAGGAAAATACAAATTGAATAGGCACATTTTTGGGGAGTTCATCAATATTGAGGCATTAAAAATCAAATATAAATCCAGGAGTGGGGAGAGTGTGGGGACACAGGCATTCTCAAGTACTGTGAGTAGAAGTGGAAGTTGGTGTATTCTTCATGGAAGATAGTTGGGCTGCAGCTATCCTGCCTTTTGACTCTGTTCTTTCACATGTAGGGTTCCAGCATAGGAATACTGACATTTGTGCAGAAAGAATTCTCATTGGAGCTTTTTTTGCAATCGACCCCCCCCCCCCAAAAAAAAGAAAAACAAATAAAAAACAAACAAACCATAGAAACTACTTAAATGCACATCTATTCCATTAACCATGGTGTAGTCATATAATAGAATCCTATGAAGCTGACAAAAAAAATGAATTTAGAATTATATTTACTGGTAGGAAAAGGTCTACAGGGTGTAAGTGGGAAAAAAAGTACAGAATTACTTTTGTGTGACTGTCATTGAAATTACATTTATATTGTTCATGTGTGTGTGTGAAGTACAGATGGAAATGCAAGAGGAATGGATCTAATGCATACACACCACACTGTTCACTGTGGTTACCTCTGGTGGGCAAGAGAGGTCTGAAATTAAAACTTTTTAACTAGAAGCAGTTTCTAGTGGGTAGGCATGTATCCTCCCTGACACAGATCAACTTTGATCTTTACTGAGCCTATTGTCTTTTTGCATCTAAGATAACATACCTGTGGAATGTCAGGGTAACTTGTAACTTCTCTTTCTCCAGTTCTCTCAAGGCACAACCAGTGTGCCAGGGCAAGCGCCAAGGAGAAGACCCCTAATTCCCTCATTGTTATTGTTATCTTGTTAATTGTTGGACTGTTAACTAGCCTGTACCCACCTGTGTAAAAGAAGTATGTGTCTATCATTTTACTTTTTTTTTTTTTTTAAATGTTTTTATTGAGTTCAGAGAGTAAGGGAGAGGGAGGGAGAGAGAGAAACATCAATGATGAGAAAAGCACCATTGATCGGCTGCCTCCTGCACGCCCCCCTACTGGGAATCGAGCCCGCAACCCAGGCATGTGCCCTTGACTGGAAACAAACCCGGGACCCTTCAGTCCGCAGGCCGACGCTCTATCCACACAGCCAAACCAGCGAGGGCTCATTTTACTTTTTATCCAATCCCAGAGGTTTCCCAGCTTTGCTTTCTCCCACCTCCCTAATCTATCACCAGTGGATTTTGTGTAACTCACTTATGTTTCCTCCTTTGATTGTAATGTATAAAACAAGGTAAAAAAAAGCCTGCCATTCTTCAGAGCTTTATCCCAATATGTTGAGATTCTGCTTCCTGGCAATTTCCACAGTTTGACTCAAATAAACTCACAAAAATTCTTTACAGGTTTGAATGTTTTCTTATGTTAACAGGAGATAGTAGGTAAATGTTGCTCCAGATGTAGTTAAGTCAAACAAGTTTTGAAAGACTTCAAATATTGCTTCTTTTAATTAATATTTTAGTTAATATTGCCTAGCTGATGCTGGCCTGAGGGATTAGACTTCTGTACATTGGGAAGAAGTAGAAAGACAGAGGA